TCTGCACTTTTATTTCCATGTGAGGCAGCGCTAAGTCCGACTGCAGCGACGACGTCTGCTACGCTCTGCATGCGTGTGCCCCCAAGGGGGGAGGACAGGGCAGGGCAGGGCAGGGCAGGGCAGGGGAGTTGGGCTGTTTTGCTATTTTCTTGCCTCTCGTTTATGTGTATTATTTATATATATATTTTATTTTTTTCTCCACTTTTTTTTTTTTTTCGTTACTATTTTGCACATTTTTCTATTCAACAATGAAGCCACAATAGAAAAACGTCAACTAGTGCAGGGAAACGCAGCTTGAGTGGGGCGTGGCATGGGCGAATGGATGCATGTGTGTGAGTGCGTGTGTGCAAGCGAGAGAGCAACAATTTTCTATGCGCATAGAAAGTCTGAACGGATTTTGAATGGCAAACAAGCGGCAAACGGCGGTCGAGGTTGAACGAGGCGACGGGCATGGAGAGAGCGTGTGGAGGTAGGCGGGTGGGCGCAGATATGGGGGTCTGCTTTATAAAGAGTAAAGCGTAGAACTCAAACCCAGAGCTCAGCGCCAAAGCCCGGCCAGAGCCCAAGCCAGCGCCAAAGCTAGAGCCCAGAGAGCCAGTGAATGGGTGACGACTTGCGCATGAATGGCACAAGTGTGTGTGCGAGTGTGTGCGCCTGTATTTGTCTGGCTGCTGGGTTTGGGGCTCCGGCTTCGTTTGCAGGCCTATAGAAAAGTGACGTGCGCTTTACAATTATTTCGTAATGCAAGCAAATGTGACCGAGCCAAAGCCAGCCAGCAGAGGCCAAGAGGAAGAGACACACGCAGAGAGAGAGAGAGAGAGAGAGGGAGAGGCGCCGGTACCCCTACTATATTCAGCTGGCGCCCGTTCGCCCACCCTACCCCAGCCCCGCTGAGTATCTGACGCTGCGACGTCAGCGGTGACAAATGTCAGTCGGTGGTTGCACTACTAATCGGACATGTTGCGTTGACTTGTTTATGACTGCCAGCTTAGCACGCACATAAACACATTCACACACCAACACACACACACACACACACAGAGAGAGACACACTCACAGACTCACACACTCGAGACGTGTTTTTTGTTATGTTTGCGGACTTGTGGGAAATCTGTAAATAGCTGCAAAACTAGAAGCCATCGACGTCGCCCAAGAGACAAAGCACTCGTCATCAAAGCTGTTGTCGTGCTTGATGCTGCTGCTGTTGCTGCTGCTGTTGCTGCTTCTGCTGCCCGGCATTACCCGCGGGAATAATACCAGACAGTCAGCCAGATAGGCAACGGCAACAATCAACACATTGACTGCCATTTTCGTAGCGCTGCACGCGGCGTATGCGTAATCTTTGAATAGCACAAGTCCTTCATCTCCTTCACTGGCTCTGGCTCCGTTTGTTGACAACTGAAATAATTTTGGTCAATGCCAACTTTGGCCATGTGGCTTGAACTTAAGCGTAGAAGACTTTTTCAGTTTAATAGATAAAGCAGCGAAAACTTTTTTATTTAATCATTCCTTTTACAGTATTTCGAATTTAGAATCAAGCTCAGAAATTAAATTCAACTTTTATTTCTAAGCATTTAGTTCTAAGAGTAATTACGGTAGTTTCTAAGACAGACGTTTGTCGAGTCCAATTTCAATTTACCAAAAATTTCAAAAATATTTCAGCAATTCCTGCTGAGGCGCCAAGTCCTTTAACTGCCAAGCCAAACAATTTTGTTTGTTTTTGATTCTCTTCTCTCTTCTCCCCTTTTTAGATTGCTTGATTTACCTCTCCAGTGTAAATTTTATTCATACTTTATTATACTTAAACATTGAAGCATGTGTAGTCTCGACTTTAATAAATCCGTTTTATGAAAAGTAAAATAAATAAATAAATAAATTGTCTGGAATATAGTAATACGATTTAAAAAAATTTTTTTTCTATTTTTTTTTTATTTTATTTTATTTTTTTTTTTTTTTAAATAAATTTTATTGTAGCATTTTTCAATAAACCTTAGCTATTATAGTGGCTAAATGCCTTTATTGCTACTAATTCTAGTCTTTCTAGGATTTCTAGGTATAGTATTCTTATATCTCATATATCGTATATCTCATTCTGAAACATTTATTAATTTTTTAATAAATTTAAATTTATATTTATAATCATATAAAATAAAATCCCAACTAAAATTTATTTTATTTGTTATTTTTTGTATAAAACAATAAATTTATATTTTTGTTGATAGTCTTAAAAAATATTTTTTATTTTTCATTTTGTTTTTTATATATTTTATTTATTTATTCAATTTTAGGTCTATTTTTGTTTCTGTTTCTAATTTTCTGCTGCTCGTCTTCGTTTTGTAATTTCCAATAATTATTGTTCCTCAATTCAATCGATTCTATCGATGCTTATATATTAATAGTTAACTCTAATACAATACAAATAATTTCCATTAGTATTGATACGAATTACAAATGAAAATCCAGGGTATTCGCTAGCCTAGAACCTTAACTGCATCGACACTTATTTTGTTGTGCATTGACTGTCGGTTGCTCTTTGTTGTTGTTGTTGTTGTTTGCAATGGCAGGCGGCAATTACGCGTCACGCAGCTGGACGTCGCGGCAAGCAACGCGATTTCCGAACAGCGCCAACTGAGCGGGCAGAGAGAAGCGAGCAGAGAGAGGCGAGCTCGCACGCAGCTCGTTTCGTTCGGTTCGAGCTGCAGAACACACACAAATTGCCAGTGTAGGACAAGGTCGCATTTATTTGGTGCAGCCGCAATTGGGCAGCGGAACCGAGGGAGGAGCTGGGTGGTGGGTGGGTGGGTAGGTGGGCCGCTTGGTGCAGCCAGTTGATGGGGGAGGCAATGGCTGTGAGTTTGTGATTTTTATGGATAAGTAGCGAGAGCTGTGCAAAAAAAAAAAAAGGGGGGGAGAGGGGGCCAGCAGCACGGTGCATGCTGCGTACGAAGGTTACCTGACACACGCACACCCCGAGAGACAGAGACAGAGAGAGACAGAGAAAGGCAGTGGGAGAGAGACAGGGAGAGGCCCGTTGACAGAAATGTTGAAAAATTATGAAATGAATACAAATATTTGCGGATCAGAGCAAAAAAAAAAAAAAAAGAGTCGCCATTGAATGTCGCCTTCAGTGCGACGACAAAGTGCAAATCAAATGTGATAGATGATCTCAATGCATAGCAAAATGCAAAGGAAAAATGAACTGAAAATAAAACGCAAATAAAATAGGAAAAGCCAGCTGAATGAGAAGTCAGCTTGAAGAAGCTGAAGCATGTGCAGGTAAAGAGTTTTTTTTTTTATGGAATATGTTTATTAGAGGGTTTTACATTTCATCTCGGTAGGCAAGGTAAACATAGGAAAAGTGTTTGAATTGAGGTATGCAAATGTAGCCAAAGAGAAGTTATTGAATATTTAAAGCATGATTCATATTGGGCATTTGTGCATTCATATTGTCTTTAGCCTGCGCCCTGGCTTGCTCTAAGTCTACATGATATTCCTCATCGTCAATAGGCAAGATAATGCAATAAATCTATTTCCCATAAGTTTCTTTGTCAATTTATATATAATAATATTCAATATCTCCTTTGTCTCTGCAGTCGGCAACGTTAACTTTTGCAACTGCTATCAGCTACCAATGCCTGTTCTAAATAGTTTATCAATCTAAACTTTGTAGTTTCTCGCTTGAGTATTGTCTATTAAAAGTTGTTCCTTTTAGTCGAAAACCGAAAGCATAGCCAAATATTCAAGCAAAACTATTGCGAAACACTGATTAATGACAAATTGTGCGGCATGCAAACTGCAACAAATTTTTTGTTCTCTTTTGTTTTTTGGTTGCTGCTTTTTCATTCTTTTAGACCCAATTCCACTGGCCATCATCCAAGTCATTTAAAGTGCTTGCAGAGCCCACAGAAAAAAAATGAAAGAAAAGGTTGTTAGTAACTCAGCTCAACCACCTTCTGTGTGGTTGTCTCTCGTTCTCTCTCTCTCTCTTCCCTTCTCTCTCTATCTCTCTCTATCGCTGCACCTCTGTCTGCTGCCTCTGTGACCCCCTTGAATAGCGTCTCCTCCTCTTACCCGCTCTGATTTTTTCTCTGCCCCCTTTACAGCCTGTCTGCCCCCTCCACCTTCTCCTAGCTAACCCCTCTCTCGCTCTCCATGCTCCCCTTTTCCCCTTTCTCCTTGTCTGTTGTTGACGCTTCTTCCGTTCGCTGGTTTAGTTTTTCTTTTAGCTTACTTTGCGTTCCGCTGCTGCTGTTGCTGTTGTTGTTGTTGTTGTTGTTGCTGCACATTTTATTAACATTTTCATTTAGTTGCATGTGCTCTCTCTCTCTCTCTCGCTCGCTCTCTTTTGCTTTTCATTGCAATTTGTGTTTCTATGCATTTTTGTGTGTGTTTTACATTCGTTTTTCGTGTCGCACCGCCAAAGCCACCCACTCTGCCCAGCTGCAGCAGCAACATGCCACACCCCCGGCCACCTTCTCTGCCATTCATGTTGCAACATTGTTGCCACTGTTGCGCTCTTTTGCAGTTTGTTGAAGTTTTCATAATCATTGTCGTCGTCGTCGTCGTCGTCGTCGCAGCCTTTGCTTTTGTTTTTGTTTCTATCTGCATTTTTTTTAAGCTTTCGGCTGGGTCTGTGAGATTTTGCAGCTTGAAAACAATGCCGGGAAAGCGGCTTATTTTCTATGATTTAAATAATGACGAAGACAACAGTCAGCAGCCACCTTCATCATCATCATCATCATTATGATCTCTGATACAATGGCAGCGAGACATCATTGATATAAGATATAAGTCGAAATTGTTGTAGTTCTTGTTGTTGTTGTTGTTGCTGCTCTTGTTTTTTTCTTGTTCATAGTATAAACATTTATCTTTTGTACTACGTCACTTAATGCATACGCTCCATTTGTTTCCCTCTCTCTCTCTCTCTCTCTTGCTCTATATATATATTTGTATTTGGCTAATGTCTGTTAAATTCACTCTTTCTGTTTGTTTCTTTATAGAAAAATGTTCATTGGCGGCCTCAGCTGGCAGACCAGTCCAGGTAAGTCTTGGCCCACATCCCAAACGAATCTAAGAAATTAGTTAATATATGCGAAAATTTTGCAAGCACTCAATTAGCATTATGTATATTACATTAGAGCTAACAGTTCTATGTTAATAAGCTGTCTGTAATGTACTCTTTTACAGCTATGGGTATACATATCTATATATATCTATAGCTATATCTATTTTTTCTTTATCTATATCTATATCCAAGGCATAAATATATGGCATATATATACTTTTAAGAAGTCTGGCTCAAATCGAAAAATTATACAAAATCAGCTTTATATCTATAGAGAATATATCAGTATAAAATTTGCTTCAATTCAATTAGTCAATATAGATAGATACACATAAATATACATATATGTATATATAGCGTATATATTCATGTATATATGCATAGATATTCATAGGGCAATTTAAATGAGGCAACGAATTGATTCATTATTCAGTTGAGTTGTTTATTTGACGATCGAATACAATGAACGACAACGGGTTTTTGCTTAAATTGAAATTGTAATTGATGAAATGCTTGAGATTTTGCCATGTCGGCGACGTAATTTGACGTCAATTGGCGGCAGACACAGAGAATGTGCCAGCTGCATGGTGCAAAGGGGCACATAACGTTAGGAAGGGGGAGAGAGGGAGTCAGGTGGTGTGGTACACCCATTATGTGCTGCATAGTTTTCATTAGGCTAATCAAAAGGCGGCTGCACTCTGTGCCACATATATTAACCAAATTTGATGCCCAAACTCGAAAGGTTGGCCAAAAAAAAAAAAGGGCAAAAGGGGAGTGGCAGGAGGCGGCGGAGGAGTAGACTGCTGCAAGATGCCTTTTGATGGCCAACTTGGAGTGTTGCAGTCTGTGCTGCCGCCAACACATCCGCCGCCGCATTGCACACACACACACACGCACACATACAGGCACACACATACAGGCACACACATACAACCACACTCAAGTGTAGCTGTATTGGGCTTTTTTTTTTGTGTTGTTGTCGCCCCGTTTGTGTTTTTGTTTAGGAAAATTGTTGGCTCCGCCCATCATCAGAATGGCACTCGGCATTACGCTAACATATTATAACCTATAGCGCATATCTACATACACACACACACATACGCACACACATAGACACATGTGTATGTGCCGCAATAGTTGAAGAGTCAATGCGGTCTTTGGTTTGTCTCTTTATTTTGGCCGCCTGCTGTTTTTGCTGTTGTTGCTCTCATTTTTCTTGCTTTTATTTTTCACGTTTTTTGTACCTGTGCCAAAAAAATTTTCAAATTTTCAAATGGCTTCTTCAATAGTGGCCCCAACTTGAAATTTTTTTCTGCTACAAGTGTGTATGTGTGTGTGTGTTTGTGTGTCTGTGTGTGTGTTTTCCCTCTGCTGCCTTTTGTTATCTCTGCCCATTTGGTGTATATATATGTCTTCAATCTTTCCTTTTTTTTTATATACATAATTTTTATTGTATTTCTTGTTGTTTTTGTAGCTTTTGGCTTTTGGCATTCGCTGGTTGGCTGGCTTGTTAAATTAGCCAAAGTCTGAGAAATCTTGTGTTAAATTAAAGACTTGCCCAACGAGAGCACAAAAAAAGGTCTACATTAATCTTAAGTCTGCAGCTGCAGTTGCAGCTCTGCCGCGTAGTGTTGTACAACGTCTGAAACGGTTATCAAAAGTGAGCAAGCGGTTGATGTGAAACCGGTTTCATGTATTGAATAATATATGTTTCATATCTTTGAATAAGATGTTATAAATCGGCTATCAATCGATTATAAATCGGCTATAGATCGGTTATACTCAATAATTAAAATATGATCAAGCTGGAGTTTGCAGTTTGTGGAAGTTTTGGATGGCGTGATAGGGAGCCAGGGTGAAGGAGGGTAGGAGACATGAAAAGAGACAGGGATAGAGAGACAGAGATTAAAGGAAATAGAGGGAGGAATGGAGAAATGAAAAGTTAGAGGTAAGAATGAGGGAAAGAGAATGAGAAAGATAGATAGAGGGAGAGAGAGAAAGAGAGTCAGACAGAGAGGCTGAGAGTTAGAGAGTGAGAGAGAGATAGAGCGTGAGAGAGAGATAGAGAGTGAGAGAGAGAGATAGAGAGTTAGAGAGAGAGATAGAGCGATAGAGTGAGAGAGATAGAGAGTTAGAGAGAGAGAGAGAGAGAGAGAGGCAGATGCAGCGACAGAGAGGGAAAATAGTTTCGGGTATTTAACGTATCATATAGGAAATATGACTATCAAACCGTTCTGAACCGGTTATGAAACGGAAACGCAGTTTTCATAAATAATATATGTATTTCGAAAGTCTTCAACAAAAGTCACTCAAAAATGATTTAGTAGCCAACAAGTATATTTCCATGGCCTTTTCATAAGACAGTTGGTAACCGATTCATTTCAAAATCGAGCAGCTGAACCGGTTAAGCGACGATTATGCCTTTGAGCACTTGAAACTTCGCACTTCGCACTTTGCACACTGCTGCAACGGCAACTGTCAGCGACTGCGATCGTATGCCATTTGGCGCACAATACATAACTTTGGGCATGCCTATCTTAGCCTTCGACTAGAGCCTCTTTTAGTCGGGCTGCGTCTATGGGCCAGCCGGAACAAGCAGCTGAGGGCACGCAGCTCAAGTGGGCAGCCACTCGCGTTGCAGCTTATGCTTTTGGATTCTGTTCAGCAGCTATTGCCACTCGAGCACACAGACACAGCGCTAAGGAACAGAGTAAGGGACAGAGGGAGAAAAGGCCTCTCCCCCACAGCAGACACTCGAGAAATGTGCTGACAAAGACCTAATCTAGGGCGTCTATAAACATGAGCGCCTGCGTCCAACTGCAATAGTGGTAGACAGGTCGGCGGAACGTGTTGATAGCTAGTGATGATGTCCGCATTGCAGTCAACGCTTGGCCACTCCAAGCGTTATGCTCCCCCAGATTTTTAATGATTGGCACGATTGTCTTAGCTACTTAATGATGTGCACAAGTGGGACAGCAGCCACTGCTCTCTCTCTCTCTCTCGCTCTCTCTCTCTCATATATGATAGCTGGTAGTAGGTGCCGTTGCTTTGTGTCATTTTTCGTGTCAACTAGCAGAGTGCACACACACACATACACACACACACACGCACACTCGCATACTTATACATAACTTAATGAACTTTTACGACCTGCCCCGCCTCCGATTTGCTGCCGCCCTGCGGCGTAATTTAATTTTAATTTCGCAAGCAGTTCACAGGAAGTAATTGTATGCATTGAAAATATATTTGCTGCTATCGCATGGAAAACACTCGACAGACTGAGTGAGAGAGAGTGAGAGAGAGAGAGAGAGAGGGAGAGAAGGAGAGAGGGAGACAGACGAAGAGAGACTCTTACTCAGTCAATTGAAACGCATAATGCGCGCGGAAGTCAAAGCATCAAGGAAACGCTTCTGATGCTCTCTATTAAGGATGTTTTTGCTTTCGCTGATTTTGTATTCATACAGAAATTTGAGTGTATATATATATATATATATATATATAAATATATATATTGCTGATAGAGCATTAAGAGATTAGTGCTTTAAGTTTCAATTATTCGTTTTGCGCTGTCTAAGCTTTAATTTTCCATGACGGCAAATTTCTTGCTTCATTTGCTCCTAGCAATTCAGCAATTGCAGTGGATTATTAGATTTAGTTTTAGTTCACAATTTCTAGCTGTCTAGATCTGTACATCCTTTACTCTTTCATTCTCATTCTCTATCTCTTTCGCTCTAACTCACTCCATCTCCATCTCGCTCTCTAGCTCTATCATTCTTTATTTCTCACCTTTGCCATCATATCTCTCATTATTCTTCTGTCCTTCTTTTTCTATCTCTTTCACTCGTCATCTCTATCTCTTCGTTTCTCTCACTCTCCATATCTCTCTGTCCGCCTCCATCTATCCTTTTCACTCACCATGTCTTTCTCTCTCTTTCTCTCTCTCTCCCTCTCTCTCTTTCTCTCTCTCTCTCTATCTCACACACTACATATATCTGACCCACTCCACCGATGTCCCCTTGTCTGTCACTTTCCTCTACCTATATTCCGTTGTATTTAATACTCTCTATCTATCCTATTCTCTATCTCTCTCAATATCTATCTCAGTTGCACTCTACATCTCTTTCTCTCTCACTCTATATATTCTCTATATCACTTTCACGCTATATGTCTCGTACTGCCTATCTCTCTCACACTCTATATTTCCATATTCTCACTATCTCTCTCTGTTTCTACTCGCTTCCTCTCCTTGCATACATTACGGCAACTTTAATTGCATCTTAGCTTCTCTATATCACAGTCCAATATCTTTTATCAACATTATTTATCACAGATGGTAACGTGAGCCTTTCTCTATTGTTCTTTGAGCAAATCTTTTCGAATCCCGTCAAATGCAAACTTAATGAAGTAAAAACTTTCGCAGCTGAATCAAATGTCTCGTGTGTCATGCTGACATCGGTGCAAGAGTGTATTAAAACTTTCAGCACATACTGTAGACAAATAATGTTGTGCTCTGATCACCTCTTGTTTCCGAGCAGGAGGCGGATGGGGAGATGGAGGAGTTTACTGTTGTGCCGCCGATTTGTGTCAAATTGAAACGAAAATTTGTGAAATACAATACGCTAAAGCGAGGCGCAAAAGGCAAATGGCAGAAGCCAGAAGGCAGAAGGCGAAAGGCAAAAGGCTTCTCGCCTTTTGCTATTTTGGCTGTGCGTTCAACTGAAATACTATTTATATATGCGTTCAGATGCTCAGATACGTTCAGATACATTTGCATCTGCAGCGCGGCAAGCAGACGCCCATTACTCATGCAACACGGGCAACAACAGCAGCAGCAACAACAAAGCGGCAAAGAACCAGCAGCAGCAGCAGCAGCAGCAGCAGCAGCAGCAGCAGCAACAGCAAATGGAAAATCTATTCACATATCGCTCACATTTCGATGCCGCTTAGCGATAAAGTCGCGCAACTAGACGCAGATA